AAAACGAAAATCGACTGTAGCACCATTTATAGGCCTAGTCAGGAGGTGCGTCATAAATGTAAAACCATTTGGAAAATCCGGCTTATTTTGACCTTTCTACCTCTTGCTATGCGTAAACCTGTTACAATCGACATGAGAGAAATTCCCAGATATAGATTAAATATTGTATTATAACTGATTACAGGCTATCTTAATGTCGATGCATAGTAGGCAAACCTGCCTATTGATTTTTTTTTATTGCTTATGCTAATTAATTTTAGTCAGTACATGAATAGTGTGTGTAACGGCCCTTGTCGCAGCTCAAAACGCTCGTTTTTAATTTGAAAATGAGTTGGTTTTTCTTGAGAACTTATTTGTTCTTGGAAGAATATGAATGAATTATGATTCATGATTAATGATTATGATTTAGGTAACTCATCGATTCACCTTCCTTATCCAGTGCTTTAACACAATTTTTCATTAGTCCCAGCTTAATGTGTAATGGTGGTAAAATAACGTCTTCAAACTTTACGAGAGCTGCATTTTGTATGTTTTAATTTTCCAATGTATTCTCCTCCTGTTTTGGCCAGAGTTTTCCTTAGTAATGTTCTAGCTCTACTTTCCCATAGGCACAGGAAGCAGCAGTATTTTGTGTAACCACCTTGCAATCCCGTTAACATGGCTACGACTTTTAATTCACACGCGACTTTCCACTGGTGTTTTCTTTATATTTTATATTTTCAAACAATTTAGCCATTGTTTAATATGTTTCCTTCATATTAACAGCATTGGCTATGGGAACAGACGGCTTTTGGTTTCAATTGTGTAACAAAACAGCCTTTAAACCTTTCTAACTGCTGTCAACCCCCACCAAATCGTTCAATTGTTCCTGTGAAAGAGGCTTGCAATATTTATAATCTCCTGATTGGTCATAACTTGGATCCGTTGTTCCATGCGACGAAGGCGACATCTCTCCTTTTTGCGTTTTAGTGGCGGTATTTCTTCTAAAAGAGGAGCAGGAAGCGTAAAGCAAGCAAGCCTTGACCAGGTTTTTTCGGGTAACCCCATTTCATGGATCTCCCGCTTCCAGTTATTTTGAATGAAAAAAAAAATAAACATTCAGAGCAGTGAATCTCTGGTTTTCTCCACAGCATTGGAGTAAAAGTTACTGTCCATACCTAGGACTCGGTCAAACAAAAATTACAGGTCCTTTTTGTTTCCTTTAATCCCATTTTAGCAGTTGGACCAGCAACGTACCGGATGGTATTTTTCAGGTAAAATGAGTTTTGAGTCGTTTTGGTTTAACGGCTGCAACTTGGCCGTTTATCCATCGGTTCTTACAAACGATACCTTAAACGATACCTTAAACGATTTCTAATTAATGCGTATATATAAAACCAAAATTCATGACAAGAAATACTTTCGAAAAAAATATCGCAAAAAAATGATAAAATTTGAATTTTAAAGCTTAATATCTTCCAGACAAAGTGCTTGGGTCGGATTTATAGCTGCATTTGTCAACTTTTCAGAACTGCAAAGTTCTATGCAATCAGATATAAGATACTAAGGTTATGTGAAAAATAGTATCACTATCTCTAAAAAAACATGAAAAAATACAAATTTTTTCTTTAAAAAAACGAGAAGGAACGTGTGAGGGGCTTCTGGGGACGCGACTCTACTTATACCCGTACTCAGTCAGTATACACATTTTTGAGCTTATGATTTTTAAGAATTTTAGAATTAAAAAAAAAAATTTTACATTTGCATTTAAATTTTTTTTTTGCTACATCTGTTATCTGCATCTACATCTACTATGTATATTCTACATATAACATGTAGATTATACATGTACCATTTAGATTCTGCATCTCCTCCGCTAGATAGCGCTCGCGTACATAACGCCGCAGAGTGTGCGAGCGAGAAAGAGAATGAGTAGCGTTTCTCTGGCTGGGGAGGCGGGCGAACCAACAGAAAATTAATTTCTTCATTCTGGCTATAATTATGATCCGATCTGATTCAGATTAGTCAATTTTGGAGATATGGCCATTTTCTACGATACTGCGTTTTCAGTTTTATCGTATCTTTAAAATTTTGCCTGCCACAGATTTTCGTTCTTTGTGGGGGCGGAAGAGGGCGAAATTTTGAAATACACTTGTAGCAGTGTGATATCACATGAGTCTGGAAACCAAATTTGGTTGCCCTATTGATGCTGATCAAGAATATAAGTACTTTATGGGATCGGAAACGTTTCTTTCTCTGCGTTACACACATCCACTTTTACCACAAATTTAATATACGCCTTAACTCTTTTTGAGTACGGGTATACAACTAAACCATAAAAAAAAAAAACAATATACAGCTGTGTTCAATGAAATAGTAGTGCCGCACCTCATCACTTTCAAAACTCTTTTTGAGACACTTCTAGTTATCCAAATTGAACAAATGATACCTTTTTAAATAGACTGGACTATTAGCATTAGAAAAATATCCATACATTTGAATTCCATCTTCTTGTTTTACATGACATAAGCCGAATACCCATAAAATATGCTGTTCAATGAAATAGTAGTGTTTTTTAGAAAATTAAAAAAAACAACGAAACTTAGATAAAAACATATATTTCATGTTCTTCATGTTTCTTAAGCTTTAATATTTAGTTTTTTATCAATTTGGTTTTTTATTGCGAACTTGCACCGGCCGGATATGGGTCATTAATCTCTTGCCAACGCTTAGGATTTGAGCCAATAATCCATGAAACACTTGCTATAACTTGGATCTGGTTCACGGATTTGCAGTTGAAACAATGTATTTGGTATTCCAGCATAAGATTTCGACGAGATTAATATCCAGTTGGACAGTTGGCCATGGCAAAATGTCGATCTTTTCCGATAACAATTAATTCCTAGCGAGCTTTTATGGGTGTTTCAAGTCATTATCCGGTTAAAATATCCTTTTAGCAGGAATTTTTCAACTATAATATGATCATAATGTATTCTAAAGTATGCCTACAAACACAGTTTCGCTCAAAACCATACTATACTCAAACGCCAGACCAGAAAGTACTAGCTCAAATGAGCTGGGCCCCATAAGGCTCAGCCTAGCATGCCCAATGCTATATTTTTCATGATTTTAGGTTGTAATCGGATTTCGATTTCTTCAACGCTTCAAAGTCAAAAGTACCGCAATGTCCAAAACTGTCTTTCATCAAATTATTCGATATCTGAATTGAGCTTGCGGATGGTGACTTATTTAAACTAATTTTCTTTCTTTTTAATTTTTAAAAATAAATTTAACCCAGCACTACTATTTCATTCAACAGCAGATATCATGGGTATTTGTCTAAAGTCATGAAAAACAAGAAGATCGAATGCAAATGTAACGGGGTTTCTTCAAGTTTCTAATGCTTACATTCCAGGCTTTACGTAAAGGTATCACTTGTTCAATTTGAAGGACTAGAAATATCTCAAAAAGAGTTTTGAAAGTAGTGAGGTGCGGCACTACTATTTCATTGAACACAACTGTATATGTTTTCAAATCCCGAAATCTATTAGAAAAAGTCATTTTGGTCCACAGCGGGAAGAAAAAGTTCAATTTTGTCGAGAAGTGCAATAAGGTATTTTTTTTTTGTTACTGTTAAAAAATTAACGATTGGTGAAAATCCAGAAGTTCAGATGAGGTTGATATATTTAGTTAACTAGTTCGCAAAAACTTGTGCAGGTTTTTTTACTGCCAATGTCTGATTAATGACGATATCAATGGTATCAATATATATGCAATAGATTTCACGAAATTATCCAACTCATTCAGCAAACAAAATTTGTTTTAACTTTCTTGCTTAAAATGCTTTGTAAAATTCGGTAGAAAATCGTAAAAAAAATTTTTTTAAAAATAAAAAACTTTCATATTACTATCAAACGCAAACGTTTAAATTAAAAAAAAAACATTTTTTTGTTGTCTCAACCTAGTCTAGTGTACATAAAAAAGCGACAAAAAACTACGGTTGCTATTATTGAGCTTTCTTCTGACACTTCTTCGGTATTTTTGCGCATTTTGAGTAGTTCAGTGAATGGTTGGCTCTGTAAAAAGAGTGTTGCGTTATAATTGCACAATTTTTTTTGGAAATATCTGTTTGTTCATATAAGCATAGCCTAAAGTCTATAAAATTTCAAAAACATTTCTTTTTATGTGTTTAATCCTTACACCTGTATTTTGTACTTTTAATTTGAAAAGTTAAAAAAAGGTCAAGTTGAAGAATTTAGGATCACTTAAAAATTCCTCAAAACAGCCAAATGTTCTTATTATTTGACTGACCCCCCATATTTTTTCATTGTACCCGAATAAAAATAAAATTAAAAAAAAAACTGAATGGAGTCAGTGATATTTTAATATAATAATATTATATTTTTTGAGTTCCTTTTGTTGCTTTTACTTAAATAACATAAATATTTTTCAAAATTTTGGTTTAAACACAAAAAAAACTTTTGCTTATTTAAATAGGTTTTCTCATCAAAGTTAATGAAATTATATGTTAATTGGGTAATTAATTGTTCTCGGTCAGAAAAAATTCGCAATTGTAAGTCAATTTTTTTTTTGTTTTTTTTTGTTAGTATATAATAAACATTTGAAGTCATATATTTTTAAGTTAAAAAAGCAACATTTTATTTATTAACTGCATACGCCTCCGCCGATTCTTTTTGGCCTCCACGCCGCCCCCGAAGATAACACAGTCGGCGTAAACCTTTCTGCAAACCAAATATTGTTTCTCTAGCTCTTATAGTCATACAACTTGATGGTAAGCGGGACCGACAGGTGGACGGAAAAACAATCATGGTCATATCGACTCGGCTATTGAAATGCATCCTTTTAGCTGTTACATAAATATACAAAAATGTAATATACCCATATACTCTTTGAGTACCGGGTATGGAAAATATTACATTTTTTGATAATTAAAATGATGAGGAGCGTGCTTTCGGTATACATTTTTAAAATTAAGTGATTTTACTCTATATGTTTTACAGAATTCTGCAAGCTTGGTGGGTATAGATTACCCTTCGGCGGCAATGCATGTTTCAAATTCTTTACCGAAACAAGATCGGAAGAGTCATAGTAAGCCTTCGGACCTTTCGCTCTTAAAAATAATTGGATCGGCCGTGCCTTCAACTCCGACATTAATGCCTGGGTCCTCAGGGGGGACAGAAAGTGATGCACGTGATATTAACAACGAAAATACGATCGCAAGTACACAAGTTGTGGCTGTGATTACCGGTGCTTCCGTGTCTACATCTGCAGTCGTTCTTGCCGACAGCGGAAGTAAGGAATGTAATGCAATACACAAATGTGTTCAAGAAAAACCGCGTTATCCCATTATGTGCGTTGCTCCATCTATCTCTCGACCTCAAGTAAGCTTATAATTATTATTATTATCATAAAAATCTAGTTTTTATAATTTTTGTATTTAAACAAATTTTTTATTTTCTATATCCAACAGCATCCCAATGCTGGAACATCTGTTAGAAATGACACTAGTGTGACTGCTTCATCGAATAATGATCAACCAATTCTTTTTGCTACAAAGATTTCTTCAAACGGATTACCATCAGCGGGCCAACGGCCACTTGTTCCATTATTACCTTGTAGTCAAAAAACTCATGGTGGTTTAGGACTTGGCTGCCAATTTAGTGCGCGAATCTCAACTTCAAGTTCTGGATTACCGATTTCGTCGCCGTCTTCAAGTGTAGTGCCAGCGAACAACCTGAAATCAAACGATACCGTTACAAGAACTATAAGCCACAACAATGTTACAGCTAGTGGCACTGGATTGTTATCTTCGTTATCAGCAGCTTCCGTAGAAACACTAAAAATTACTAATGGTTCAACACCTACATCCAGCAATTCAGTTGTCAATGGGTTCGTTGGTGATTTTCCAACGATCAATAGCACAGCAAAAACACTAATTAGTACACAGCCACGTGTTTCTCCTCATGTTACTACTAAATTGATGTCGGCAGTATCTACAACAACATCGATCAGCAAAAGCACAGTTGGAAATTCTGGTTCAGTGTTTGGAGCAGGGGCGAGTGCACTTGGGACTACAGGGCCCCCATTACTTTTTCCCGGAGTCCCACCCCCTCCTATGTCTCATGTGGCTGCGGGCATGCCTATGCTTATTCAGGCACCTCCATACCGTACACCTTATCCTAATTACTCTTTGTACACACCATACAACAACATAACGCACGGACCGTACCTGCCCCCAACATTGCAGACTGCATCGCCCAACATATCCTCTCCGCTTCGTAGCTCCGATACACGTAGCAGTCGAGAGTCGCCAATAGTCCCGGCATCTTTAAAAGCGGCATCGTTAAGTTTCACAGTGCAACAGAGTGTATCATCGACACCGGCGATGCGACCCATCACCCCACTTAATAACATAAGCGTTTCACAACCCGTTTCACAGTCGGTTGCAACGACAGCAAGTTTTCTTTCGGCTAACTCCACTGCGGTTCATTCGCTAAGCCATTTGCATGTATCTCATTCCCATCATCTTCCAGTATATGCCAGTAATTCTTTTGGCAATGCAACTGCCGCGCTAATTACCACAACTTCGGTACCGTCTACTCCCGCTGTAACTTCGCTTGCAACTGCTACCCCACAAGCACTCCCCCCTCCATCTACACAAATGCTTCCACAGGCTGGGCAGTTTCCATCTGTCTCTCATTTGCTAACTACGCATCCGCAGTTAGCGGCACCAATGCAATCACAACACCAACAGTTTGTGCGTTGCGGAGGTACTCCTTACACATCCACTGTTCCTGCCTCCAACTTAAGTGCTTCAGTTCTCACCGTCCAAAGTTTACCGACAACGTCGTGCTCATCATCTGTATCTGCGTCATCATCGTCATCTGTGATCCAAAGAATAATTTCACCCAAAGGTGAAAGTCCCTGCAGCAAAGATCGGGATCCCGCATACAGGTAATGTAAATATAAATATATGAAAGCATAAATAAAATATAAGTTAAAGAAAATTCGAATTAGCATAAGACTCTAAAGATTAGGTATAAATGAGGTATAATAAAGGTTGGAGAAAAATTGTGATTTTCAAATTCTTGTATAGAAGCTATTATGATCTGATCTGCTCTGCTCTGCATTAACTTATACATAGGCTGCTATTTAAGTTTCTGACCTATCCATGAAAAAAACCAACCAAAGTTGGTTGAAAATGGTTTTATTGTTTTTTAACAATATTTTTTAAGAATATGAAACCCTATTTTGAAACATTTTAATTAATTTTCGCAGATCTTTTGACACTCAGAAGAAAGTATATCTAAAACAAGGCTAATCAGGCTCTTTCGCCGTCAAAAAACGATGATATAGTTGAAAGTTGGCGGCCGCTAATTAAAAATGGTTCGTTTCAAAAATGTTTGTGGCATTATGACTCGTTTTAAAACAGGGGCCGACAGCGGCACTGTGCATAGGAAAAAATCTCGGGCAGCGCAGTCGGCATAAAAGCTTCGTGTGGCTCGGCTCGGCTGCAGCAGCTGCAGAGAGCCAACTTTGTGTGTCCTATGCACAATTTCTCCGCTGCCGCAGCGGCAGAGAAATAAGTAATGTATTAGCCCTTCGTGTCTGTTGTCTTCGCACACAAACATGTGTGTGCGTGCCGACCCCTACTTTAAAATATGCATACCGTCGCAGAGTGTGGCCTTCGGCCATTTTAATAATTAATAAAAATTAATATAATTAAAACCTTCTAAACTAATTGAGATATCTCCATGAAATAAACTGCATTTGAAAGGAAAATCTGCATAAATGTAGTCTGCACGGTGCATGGCTCTACAACTTCCAGAAGCTTTACAATAAATAGTCAAAATTTTACTTTGATGCCAGTGGATATTTTCCTATGTAAAATGATCAATTACACTGCTAGACAAAATCTAGATAACTTTTTTTTATAGAATTTTTGAAGTCTTGTATTTTTTTTAAAGCTTTTTTTTAGATATAGCGCTTCTTTTTTGACATAACTCTAGAATACCCGCGCTGTATCCACAAAAAGTAATAGGCTGACAAGAACATTGTAGTACCTTTTACAGGTTTTTTGTATCGTGGTAATAGAATGGATATATCTGAAGATATAGCGACTCAAAGTTTAAATTTCTACCATTTTTAATGTTTCTTCAACTTTGGCATTTTTCTAAAATATTTGTTTACCCTTGTTCAAAAAGAGTTAAGGGGTATATGCACTTGTTGTAAAAGTATATATATTCCAGATAAAAATCAATAGCCGAGTCGATATAGCCATGTCGCCAAATTCTCAGAGACTATAAGAGCTACATATAGCAACCAAATTTTGTTTCCAGACTCATTTGATATCACACTGAATAAATTTTGTTTGAAATTTTTGTCACGCTCTCTTCCGCCTTTGCAAAAGACGAAAAATCTGTGGCACCCACAATTTTGAAAATACGAGAAAACAAAAAATCGCAGAATCGACATTGTGTATTTATAATCTACATTTTAGATGTGGAATCGACATTTTAAATGTAGATAACAGATGTAGCAGAAAAATGTAAAATGTATATATATTTAAAAAATCTAAATAAATCTTAAAGCTTACATATTTATATACAGTTGTGTTCAATGAAATAGTAGTGCCGCACCTCACTACTTTCAAAACTCTTTTTGAGATATTTCTAGTCCTTCAAATTGAACAAGTGATACCTTTACGTAAAGCCTGGAATGTAAGCATTGGAAACTTGAAGAAACCCCGTTACATTTGCATTCCATCTTCTTGTTTTTCATGACTTTAGACAAATACCCATGATATCTTTTGTTGAATGAAATAGTAGTGCTGGGTTAAATTTATTTTTAAAAATTAAAAAGAAAGAAAATTAATTTAAATAAGTCACCATCCGCAAGCTCAATTCAGATATCGAATAATTTGATGAAAGACAGTTTTGGACATTGCGGTACTTTTGATTTTGAAGCGTTGAAGAAATCATTGCTCGGTCCAGAAGAGGAGACCTAAGAGTTAAACTAAAAACTTAAGGCAGGAGGTATAATGGGATTGAAAACTAAGTTGTATGCACTCTCACTATTGTGTTTAATTAATAAACTATAAGAAGTAGACTGAAAATCGATTTTGTATTCGAAAAAAATATTTTTTAGAGGATGGTCGGCGATGGTCGAAGGCAAGACCAGGCCTTTAATATCCTCAAAAATTATGAAAAAAATTTTTAATCGCTGTCAGTGATGTGACAGTTCGTAGACGAACACATTATTTGAATGCAAGAAGTCCCAGAAAGCTCCGCGTTTGGGTCTGAGAGTACATGGGTGCACGACTTCAGTTTGGAAAATCGCATGTGGTCTGGCCTGTGTTCACAGTGACAAAAATGCTGTTGACTGATGATAGTAAAGTTGTATTTTATGGTAAGATAGGCTCAAAAGAATATGTTTGGAATTCACAGAAATCCGATTACCACCTAAAATCATGAAAAATATAGCATTGGGCATGCTAGGCTGAGCCTTATGGGGCTAGGCTCATTTGAGCTAGTACTTTCTGGCCTGGCGTTTGAATATAGTATGGTTTTGAGCGAAACTGTGTATGTAGGCATACTTTAGAAACATTACATTCATATTACAGTTGAAAAATTCCTGCTAAAAGGATATTTTAACCGGATAATGACTTGAAACACCCATAAAAGCTCGCTAGGAATTAATTGTTATCGGAAAAGATCGACATTTTGCCATGGCCAACTGTCCAACTGGATATTAATCTCATCGAAACCTTATGGGGGAATACCAAATACATTGTTGCAACTGCTCAATCGTCAACCAGAGCCAAGTTTTAGCAAGTGGTTCATGGATTATTGGCTCAAATCCTATTGAAGCGTTGGCAAGAGATTAATGACCCATGTTCGGCCGGTGCAAGTTCGAAATGAAAACCAAATTGATTAGAAACTAAATATTAAAGCTCAGGAAACATGAAAAACATGAAATATAAGTTTTTATTTGAGATTCGTTGTTTTTTCAATGTTCTAAAAAAACACTACTATTTCATTGAACAGCAAATTTCATGGGTATTCGGCTTATGTCATGTAAAACAAGAAGATGGAATTCAAATGTATTGATATTTCTTCGGTTTTCTTTGTTCAATTTGTCTCAAAAAGAGTTTTGAAAGTGATGAGGTGCGGCACTACTATTTCATTGAACTCAACTGTACTGACTGAGTACGGGCATATAAGTAGAGTCGCGTCCACAGAAATTCCAATGTGTTCAATAATAATAATTATTCTCAAGCTTTCGGACTTTTCCGACAGCTTGATAAAATTCCACAAAATAAGTCAGAAAGCGAAATCGTTTAATCTTAAAAACTTGGCTTTATTTTCGACAATTTATAATAGCGAAAAATTCAATCCGTGTGTTCGTGGCGAAGGGTTACTGAACATATATATGTATATATACCTTGCAAGGGTCGTTGGACTATATTAATCTGTTCCGTTTGCTCTCAAGTTTTCGACTCTCCCGCTCTCAAGAGCAATGCAACTAACTCAGACCGCTCAACGCTCGGGCACTCGGGCTTGATCTACGACTAGTGATGATAAGAGCGAGCGTGCATTAGATTTAAGAGCGACAGATAGCGCAAAGAGCTTGTTGCCAGCGGTTGCTCCGAAGAAATGTATCCCTTTATCCATTGTTTATTCTATATTAAAAGTATATTAGCATATAAAGGCTATACAAAACAGTTATTCTGATATTATGCGTCAAGCTTTTTCAAAAAGTGTCTTAATACTCATTAACTCAGCTGCGCCACTTTCGTTGTATGAACTGGCACATCTATATACTGTATGTATGACATTAATTGAGTATCCTCATTCTGACTATAATTATGAATCGATCTGATTCAGATTCGGCAATCTGGTAGATATGGGCATTCTCTGCGATACTTCATTTTAGATTTTTTTTGCTACATCTGTTATCTACAACTAAAATGCTGGTCTCTTGCTGGCGGAGGTGGAGGAAGCAACCGAAAATTAATTTCTTCATTCTGGCTCTAATTATGATCCGATCTGATTCAGATTCGGCAATCTGGTAGATATGGTCATTCTCTACGATACTGCGTTTTAGTTTTATCGTATCTTTAAAATGGTGCCTGGCACAGATTTTCATCCTTTGTGTGGGAGGATGGGGGCGGGGCGAAATTTTAAAACACACTTGTAGCAGTCTGATATCAGACTCTGGAAACCAAATTTTGTTTCTCTAGCTCTTAAAGTCACTGAGATCTAGGCAAACAAAAACGCAAATACGAATAAGGGAACAGTGCAATCTCGAAGAAAAGACAACAACAAAATCATAACAAAAATCGGTAACACCAATCAAAGAAGAGAAAAAACCGGTTTTTGCTGGACGGATCGCATACGCACATAGATTTTTGCATGTGTTGGGCTTTCGGTATGCTGGTACACAGCACAAACTGTGTATGCGTACAAATATATACATATATATATCATCAATCAATTTCTAAGCCCAAAATCTTTCAGAAAAAGTTGGTTTCGTTCCTTGAGGAAAAATAGTGTCGGGTAGTGCTATCCAAAATGTCCTGAGAAAAAGAAAGCAAATAAGGTGGCAATACTTTGTCCAGATTTAGCAATAATATTTGGTAGTTGACGGTATGGATGACGATACTTTTTTTAATTTATGAAGCGCCAGAACACATTAGGATTGGACTTTCAACATCAGAGATGTATTGATTATATAGAAATTTATTCAGAAACTCAAACTCTCGCTTGTGTTGCCTGTATCAATCGCTATCCCTTGGATTATCCCATCTAAGAAAACTTTTGTAGAACGTATTCCTTAAATTTTTATATTTCTGGAGGCCTTTAGTGTGCCAAGGAAGCCTATACAAACCCTCTAACTTGGTTGAAACCATGCTGTCAAGAGTATTTATAAGGGTAACAAGGAAGTTATTATAATTAACCCAATCCATAGATATGAGGCAATCAATTACGGCAACCAAGCTGGCAGGATCAAAATTAGATCCAGAAACTACTTAAAGAGCTGGTAAAAAATTTAAAAATTTGTTATTAAAGCATAAGAGCTTATGATGAACAACACAACTAGAAATAGTAAATTCATCAGGCTTACAGAGGAATGAACAATAGAATTAATAAATATTAAATAAAGTAACCTATCATTAAAAATATTATATACTTGAGTGAGGCCCATGCTATAACAATCATCAATGCCGATTTTTTGATGTGGCAAGTGTACATTGCCAGGCACCATAGCAAGGGATTGCGGATCACATGTCCATACAACAGATACTAAATTAAAATCTCCTGTAACACAGATACCAAACAGAGTCATCTAAGCTGGTATTTATGCTGGAAACATTGTTCATATCGCCTGATAAAGTAAAAAGTCACATCCTGGGGGTATATAGGAAACAACTATTAAAGTCTTCCCGGACTAGCCAGACACCTCGATAGTCAACTGGTCCAGAAGTGAGTCATTTAAAAAGTTCAACTGCTACGCAGAAGAAAGTACGTCGGACAGGCACGATGACACCTCCACCGCTCTCGCAATGAATTCCGCTGAATTCTCTATCCTTACGATAGACCTGGAACAAGTTTGCATCGAAGAGCTCATTGGAGGTGAAGTTAGGGTTGAGCCAGGTTTCAACCAATATTATGACGTCATAATCGCTGTTGGAAGTACTAACGAAGAGTTTTGAGTTTCTCATATCTCATTCCAGATATGTTTTGAAAGAAAATTTTAAGGCAGCTATTTCCATTTCTCTTGTCAGATGAATTTGGCTACCTGACGGTAATATGGAGTGTAAGAGTAAAATCCTTATCGGCGACACCAGATGTCTGCACTGCACAGCCAAAGGAACCAATATAAAACCCTGCGCAATGTTTCTGTTCGAATACGTATTGGCAGGCTGAGATCATCATTAAAAAAGTTAGAGATACAATCCATTCGCTAAATAGCAGAAGATATTCTTGTAGATACTTCCGCAGTCGGTGCGTGCCGTTGACAGCGCGCTGCAGAAAGCATCAAAAGCATGCAGAAAATTGTGGAGAGAGCAAGTGTCTGTTATAAAGTAAGATTTTACTATCCCACGCTGGCAATTGTGAAGAAGAGAGCGATACTCGAATAAAATCGCTGAGCCATCCAGGTGTTGGACGATACGCCGTGGCAGCGGGAGGTGAAAGTAGAGTCACTCCAAAGAGCACGGTACGAGCGAATGCATCGCAAGCAAGTGTATTGGGAACACAAAAAGCAACTGTTAAAAGCGACTGAATGTATGAGGCTGCACGATGAAGAGAGAGCGCTGTGTGGGCGCGCACCCATTCCACTTTCGTGGCAGCATACCGACTTTTTCTGATAGATATGGGGATTTTAATTTTTTTAAAGAATTATGGTTTTTTTTTCTATGTCAGAACTTTGTTTTGAAGAATTTTTGAAGTCTGGTATTTTTTTTTAAGCTTTTTTCTGAGGTAGCGCTTTTTTTTATACCCGTACTCAAAAAAGAGTTAAGGGGTATATTAGATTTGTCTGTCTGTCCGTCTGTCCGTCCGTCCGTCTTGTTTGACGCCTGGATCTCAGAGACTATAAAAGCTAGAGGAACCAATCTTTTTTCCAGTTCATGTGATATCACACTGCTACAAGTGTATTTCAAAATTTCGAACCGCCCCCACAAAGGACGAAAATCTGTGGCAGGCACAATTTTAAAGATACGATAAAACTGAAAACGCAGTATCCTAGAGAATGGCCATATCTACCAGATTGCCGAATCTGAATCAGATCGGATTATAATTATAGCCAGAATGAAGAAATTAATTTTCTATTGGTTCTTCCACCTACTTCAGCCAGAGACCCGCTACCTATCTCTTTCTCGCTCGCACACTCTGCCGCGTTCAGTGCGCGAACAAACCGTAGCGGAGGAGATGTAGAATCTAAATGGTACATCTGTAATCTACATGTTATATGTATAATATACATTGTAGATGTAGATACTAGATGTAGGAAAAAAAATGTAAACTTTTTATACCCGTACTCAAAAAAGAGTTAAGGGGTATATTAGATTTGTGGTAAAAGTGGATGTGTGCAACGCAGAGAAGGAAACGTTTCCGACCCCATAAAGTATATATATTCTTGATCAGCATCAATAGCCGAGTCGATATAGCCATGTCCGTCTGTCCGTCCGTCCGTCCGTCTGTCCGTCTGTCCGTCTTGATGAGCGCCTAGATCTGAGAGACTATAGGAGCTAGAGAAACCAAATTTGGTTTCCAGACTTATGTGATATCACACTGCTACAAGTGTATTTCAAAATTTCGCCCCGCCCCCTTCCGCCTCCATAAAAGACGAAAATCTGTGGCAGCCACAATTTTAAAGATACGATAAAACTAAAAACTAAAATCTGAATCAGATCGGATCACAATTATAGCCAGAATGAAGAAATTAATTTTCAGTCGTTTCCCCCCGCAGCTAGAGCAACCAAATTTTGTTTCCGGACTCATGTGATATCACACTTCTATAAGTGTATTTCAAAATTTCGCATTTCCCCCTTCCGCCCCCACAAAGGACGAACATCTGTGGCAGGCACAATTTTAAAGATACGATAAAGCTAAAAACGCAGTATGGTAGCGAATGACCATATCTACCAGATTGTCGAATCTGAATCAGATCGGATCGTATAATTATAGCCAGAATCAAGAATTTGCAGTTGCTTCCCCCACCACCACCAGCTCGAGACAACTTTACCTATGCTGGTGCTCGTAAAAAAAACATGTAAAATGTAAAATACTTCAAAATTCTACATAAATCATAAGCTCACCAATTTATATATTGACTGAGCTCACATATAGATTACATTACACATAACAAAAAGTTATATGGTTTAATAACAGTCTAGGTGCTATGGTTTAAGTCAACCTGATCACGATTACAAAAAAAAAAATCGAAGATCCAAAGAGCATTCATCTTTTAGATGAATTCCCAATAAAGCTTCAAAGAAATTATTGAAATATGTTTAAAAGCACAAGGATACGAATTAAATGATCAAAATATTAAAATTTGTGTAACGTAATAGTAAATTTGAGACTTCCATAACTCTTAAATAACAACGCTTTCAGAAAAATGTATATGCACATAAAAAAAATCCATACAGGGTTGAAATTTTGAATGCGAATTCAATAAATGTTAAAAATACAGAGTTTCATGTGACTTTGCTACAATTTCCGTCTAAATATGAGTGCGAATGTTCGATTTTGACCATATAATATTAATTGCTTTAGGCGAGTTTGCTTCCACGAAATGATTCTGTTAAAATTCGATTCTATTGTTCTGCACTTTGAAGTGGATTTTAAGATACATATTTTTGATAGATACGTCTCTGAAAGGTTGTTCACGGTATAATTTACAGTAACTCCTTAAGGAATTGTTCTAATCATAGCTAATATTTTTCTCCAGCACTACAAATCTGCGATCAAACATATCGGCAACATCATCAACAGGTGTGTCGCAGGGTGTCAGCATAAGTGCACCATTTTGTGCCATCGCGCCAAGTCCATACGTTGGTATAACTATTTCATCATCAAATTCATCAATGACGGGCCAAGGGACGGGTCTATCGTCCTATTCTCCAAGGAATGGGTTGTGGTTAAAGTAATTTCTTATTTAACTTATTTACCATTGTAATAACGTTATACCTTGCTTGCAGTTCTACCCCTTCTACTATGGTATCGACACCCATCTCATCGACATCTGTCATATTCAGTGGTAGTGCCCGTCCAACTCCACCGCCATTAAATATAGGAGCAGGAATTGGAATTGGTATGGTGGGGACAGTGGCTCCGACGACAAGAACTCCATCCAATTCAATATCACCACATGATATGTCATCGGCTGGTGTCAGTGGGCATGTGACAGCCACAAACTTTCAACCTACTTCGTACTTCCCCGCACATTTAGCACAACCAACGTCTTCTCCAGCGGCTCCAACCTCTGCTACAGCTATTAGCTCCGTTCCGCAAATTTCATTGGTGTCCCACACTTTTACCACTATTTCAACAACGGCAGCAGCTTCTGCTACTACGTCATCGTCCAACATACAAGGCATAACTCAACCTACAGGTGCAAACACAATTACATCCACACCGCATCCGTTTTCTGCAGAATCTCTTTTTCAACCAAGTAAAAGTATGAGGATTATAATGAACAGAAAAGTGAAACAAACGTTTATGTGGTTTTTTTTATTTTTTGCATAGATGACCAAGCAGATTTGCTACGTCGCGAGCTAGACAGCAGGTTTTTGGATCGGTCTGGCTTGTCTGTTCCTCCCACACCACCATCGTCAACATATCTACGACAAGAGCTTCATCATCATCAGCACCAGCATACTCACTTGCACCAACATCAGCAGTTGTTGCCAGCTGCATCCGTATCCACTACAGCAATGCCCTTGCATACAGGCCAAACAACTCCAGCGCAAATTTTTCCGCCGCCATTATTTAAAGACATTCCCAAACTCACGACTGTTGACCCCCAGTTCTATCGGGCTGGTATTGGATTACCTCCTGGCGGCTATACGAGTTACAGTTCGGCAGGTCTTTTACACACTGGTTTGGGTGGAGCAACGCCGTTCATGCCCCCGAATCATTTGACCGCTTTTGCTCCCAAGGTAAGCAATAAAACCATACATATATCTTATGTCCTTTAGAACGCATTTAAGACCAAAGCAATGAAAAAAAATGTTCATTGTCAGTGCAGACAGTTTTCATTCATCCTGTCATTGTAAGGGTCGCTCAAAGCTTTTGTGCCTTTTCAAAATAAAATCTAACAAAGATGAGAAAAATAAAAGTAACGACAGTATTTTTAAACTTTAAGCTAAACCTAATGACCACTGTATACATTAATAATGGAACTTTATTTTTGTTTTGCTTTTGGGACTTTTTATGGAGAAATATTAGTTGTATGTATAATCTATATTACAAAGGGACTACGTTTTTACTTTGAAATATAATACTGGGTAATATAATTTTATAATTTAATCAAAACCTTGAACTTGCACAGTTGACGCAAAATACTGCTATATATACGTATTTTGGCACTAAATATCCAAGTAAAGTAAACCTTAACATATTTTTTCGGTACACACCTGGAACATAAATACACTTATGGACAAAATAATAGGTGTGCTTTTTTTTCTTTTTCAACTTTTAATTTCTAGTTCATATCTTCTCTAATCTTAACAAATCAAAGTGTTTTCAAATCTTATATTAATTGTCTTTAAAGAAAAAGTAAAAACAGTTTCACAAACTCTTTAATTTACAAGAAAATTAAATATTTCCTAAATCCGTCAATTTTGGCTGGACATGTTTAAATGTTTAAATTATATTTTAAGTCCTGTTTTATATTAAATTGAGTGTCTGGCAGCTAATACCCGGTATATCCGCCATTATTTTGCAGGGATTTCTCCATTCCTCTTGGCATGGAGGATATTAACTTGCGATAAGTTCCAATTGGAATGTTGTACCTCCTCTTTGGACAATATCCCAAATTTGATTTTTATTTTGTCAAAAAGTCTTTCCGACCTCTCTTTTGAGTTCACTCCAGAGATTCTCGATTAGATTTAGGTCCGGGGATTGACTTGGCCACCCAAGAACATCCACACTTTGCTCTCGGAACCAATCATTATCCTGCTGGAACTTCCATAAAAGTGGCATATTATTCTCGGCATATGGTAGCATCACCGTATCCAATAGATCTTTGTATACGAGTCTGTCCCATATTCCGTCAATACGATGAATCGGACCAACACCATACCATGAAAAGCAGCCTCATACCATTAGGCTACCACCTTCATGTTTCACAGTTTTACATGTGTACCTGGGATCAAATTCTTTGCCTTTTGGACGACGAAAATTCCTTTTCGCATCATTTCCAAATAAATTGATCTTGGTTTCGTAGCTCCAGAGGATATTAAGCTATTTTTTCTCACCCTCCGGTCCGCACCAGGCTATACGATCTAGTGCAAATTTTTTCTCCATCTGTAATTTTGCCGAACGAAGCAAAGGAACCCTGCGAGCAATCCTACCTGGTAGGTTTGCTATTGCCAATCGTCGCCGAACGGTCCGTGATGACACAATATTCCCAATTTCGTTGGCAATCGTCCTGGAGGACTTTAAACGGGTCGCATTTAACCAACTGAACCATGCGATCGTCGGTCTTAGATAATGATTTTCTGGGTGCTCCCCTAGTTTCACCTATTTTTTTCGATTTTATGGCATTGGTTACGTTTTGAGATCGTTTCATTAACCTGGCAATGGATTTATAAGTTTTACCCTCATCTCGGAGTCGTCGAATGAGCCTTCTCTCCTCCACACTGCAGTGACGACCACGGCCTATCTTATACAATTTTAATGGTTGCTAAGTCTATATTTAGTTATATTTTCCTAATACCTTACCTTTTGCAACCAAATAGTTATCTTAATAAGCTACAGGTTAATGTTTTGCGTCATACACCTATTATTGTGTCCAGCCAAAATTGACCGATTTAGGAAAATATTTAAATTTCTTATAAATTAAAGGGTTTGTGAAACTTTTTTTATTTTTTCTTTAAAGACAATTAATATAAGATTTGAAAAAATTTGATTTGTTGAGATTAGAAAAGATATGAAATAGAAATTAAAAGTTGAAAAAGAAAAAAAATCACACCTATTATTTTGTCCATAAGTGTACGTTTTTTCAACCAAGCTGGATTTTCATATCAGTCCTTAAGTGAGTTTTTCAAGAACAGACAACTCATTGCCAAAACAAAAATGAATTAATGAATAAGCTACCTGGTATTGAGTATCATTTATGGCAACACATGCAAAAATACAATGGCGGAAGACTTAATAACGCTAGAAACCAAATTTTTTCATTAAGGTCAAGAATATAGTAGATAACACTACTCGACAAAATCTAACTTTTTTTTCCTCAAGGAACCTAACCTTATAAATTTTTTTTAATTGGTTAATTTTAAATAATCAATTTTTTTAATTTAAAGAATTTAACTTTTTATACCCGTACTCAAAAAAGAGTTAAGGGGTATATTAGATTTGTGGTAAAAGATGATGTGTGCAACGCAGAGAAGGAAACGTTTCCGACCCCATAAAGTATATATATTCTTGATCAGCATCAATAGCCGAGTCGATATAGCCATGTCCGTCTCGATGAGCGCCTGGATCTGAGAGACTATAAGAGCTAGAGAAACCAAATTTGGTTTCCAAACTCATGTGATATCACACTGCTAGAAGTGTTTTTCTAAATTTCGCCCCGCCCCCTTCCGCCTCCACAAAGGACGAAAATCTGGGGCAGGCACAATATTAAAGATACGATAAAACGCAGTATCGTAGAGAATGACCATATCTACCAGATGGCCGAATCTGAATCAGATCAGATCATAATTATAGCCAGAATGAAGAAATTGATTTTTATTTGTTTTCCCCGCCCCCGCCTGCCAGTAGCGACCGCGCTACTCATTCTCTTTCTCGCTCGCACACTCTGCCGCGTTCAGTGCGCGAGCAACCCCTAGCGGAGGAGATGCAGAATCTAAATGGTACATGTAGAATCTACATGTTAGATGTAGAATATACATTGTAATTATAGATGTAGATAATATATGTAGCAAAAATGTGTAAAATTAAAAATTTTTTTTTTTTAATTTTAAAATTCTAAAAAATCATGCTTAAAAATGTATATACTGACTGAGTACGGGTATAAGTAAAGTCGCGTCCCCAGAAGCGACTCACACGTTCCTTCTCGTTTTTCACATAACTTTAGTATCTTGAATCTTTTTTTAATGAACTTTGCCATTCTGAAATAAGCTAATAAATCCATATATAAATTATACCTGAACACCTTGTAGCTTCAGCTTACCGTTTGGGAAATACAAAGCTTTCAAATGCAAAATTTTTTAATTTTGTGCGCTGTTTTTCAAAATTTTGATATTAAAAACTCAGGAAAAGTCGAAAAACGTACATATATCCTGTGTATGGGTGCGCTAGTTATTCATCTGTTAAAGTATTGTTCATAAAACTCTATGGAGTACGAGCTATAATTGTTTGACCAACCCTCCGAAAAACTCATTTTGTCGTTTGGAACGTTGCTAGCCCTCCAAGCAATGCTTGTTTTGACATTTAAAATAATGAATCGTTACCTCAGAAAAAGCATTAAGAAAAAAAATATTTTAAAAAAATTTCTAACGTAGAAAAAAATCTCATCAAACAATTTCAAAGTCCCAAATCTATCAGAAAACTAAGTTCGGTTCCTTGAGGAAAAATCGTTCAGATGGGGTAGAAACACACTCATATTTGCTATTACGTACATTTAGAAAAATTTTGAACACATGGTCTCTAAAAGATTCTAGTATAATAACGAGAAGGAACGTGTGAGTCGCTTCTGGGGACGCGACTCTACTATACCCGTACTCATTTTTGAGCTTATGATTTTTTAGAATTTAAGAATAAAAAAAATACTTTAAATATTACATATTTTTGCTACATATGTTATCTACATATACAATGTATATTATACATTATATATACGCTCACGTACATAACGAGGCAGAGTGTGCGAGCGAGAAAGAGAATGAGTAGCGTGTCTCTTGCTAAAGGAGGCGGAGAAGCAACTGAAAATTAATTTCTTCATTTTGGCAATAATTATGATCCGATCTGATTCAGATTCGGCAATCTGGTAGATATGGGCAATTTCTTTAAAATTGTGCCTGGCACAGATTTTCGTCCTTTGTGTGGTCGGTTGGGGGCGGGGCGGAATTTTGAAAAACACTTGTAGCAGTGTGATATCACATGAGTCTGGAAACCAAATTTGGTTGCCCCAGCTCTTATATTCTCTGAGATCCAGGCGCTCAACAAGACGGACGGACAGACAGACATGGCTCTATCGACTCGGCTATTGATGCTGATCAAGAATATATATACTTTATGGGGTCGGAAACGTTTCCTTCTCTGCGTTACACACATCCACTTTTACCACAAATCTAATATACCCCTTAACTCTTTTTTGAGTACGGGTATAATGAGACTTAAAACAAACTTTTTTTTTTTTTGAAAATAAATCGTTATTATTTTATCTAAATGTGCATGTATGTACAGATACTCCGCATGAGAGTCTACAGTTGAGATTTTCCTAAAATACATTAAAACATTGTCATTGCTGACTTTGTTAATGTTGAATATATGTTTGTAATATACATATATGCTTTTGCGCATTAACGTTCCGTTCCCGCACATATAGTACAGATGTAAACTGCCTCTTACTTGCATACGAACACGTCTCTACAGCCCTGTTCTTATTATTCTTTGAAAGTACAGTTCATAAGACTCTGTTTGCAAAACATTATTATTATTTTTTATATGTGTTTTATAGTGAACTTCCTCGAAATATGTGCTTTTTGCTTTTGCGCCTACTCACATCTGATTTTTTAAGGTCTGTTGTAAAATAAATTTGTGGTATCTTAATACTATTTTGGCTAATATTAGACTAAAAGTATATTAACAAGGAACAAGATAAGAAATCTATATATATATGGGGAGCTCAAGCTTTCTTATGGAGAAAGGGCCACGGCTCCACTTCCAAACCGGGTACTCAGTCAGTATTTATGTAGGCTTATGTATT